TAATAATACTGGATCGATATTGGTTCTTTAATTGTAACAGATACACTATACTTGTATAAAGTGTTAATAATAGGGAAAGTTAGGTGTGGGGTGTATGGGAACTCTGTGCTAAATTCAATTTTTCAGTAAATCTAAGATTATTCCCAAGAATGATTTGCTCACTGAAAGAGACCATTAAACCAGGAGCGACAGCCCGGAAGACTGAGGCAGCTTGGGAATTCAAGGCCAGCCTGGGCTACATAGTGAGACCTTGTCTCAAAAAAAAAAAAAAAAAAAAAGAAAAGAAAAGAAAAAAGAAAAACAAAGACCATTTACAAAACAACTGCAAAGATGATAGAGTTCTTATATACCCTTTCTTTAATTCCTCATAACATTAATGTCTTATAGAACCACGCCACATTTGTCAAAACTGATAAATTGCTGTTGGTACATCTCTATTAATTAAACTCTAGTCTTTGAATTTCACTAGTTTTCCTACTGATATCTCTTCTCTGTCGCAGGGGCACCACATGGCATTTACTCAGTGTGCTTCCTTGGTGTCCTCCGGTCTGTGACAGTTTCTTAGTTTTTTCATGCTTTTACAACTTTGATGATTTTGAGGAATACTGGTCACACATTTTGTAAGACATCCCTCAATTTGAGCTTCTCTGATCTGGTGTCATTCTCATCACTAGACTGAGTTGATGGGATTGGAGACTAGCACAGAGATGAAGTGCCCTTCTCATCACAAGATGTCAACATGACCTTTTGCTTGTGAGGTAACCTTGATTACTAGATTAAGATAGCGATTGCCTGCTTTCTGCACTGGAAAGTGATTGTTTTACCCTGCCCACACTCTATTCTTTGAAATTCAGTTGCTAAATCTAGTCCACACTCAGGGCAGAAGGGGATTAAGGTCCACCTCCCAGAGGGGCAAGTATTGCATATGTTATTTGCAGCTCTGTGAAAACTTGTCCCTGTCCCACCATTTATCCAATAACGCATTTATCTCAACATGGCCTCATTTATCATAGCAGAATCATATTATTATATAACAATAATATTATTTATATTATTGTGAATATTATCAATATGTATTAATAGTATCACAATATTGTTTATAATACATTATAAACTCATTACTACAATTATATTATAATACAATGCTGCCTTATTTATTTGTTCAAATTTCTCCAACTTGGGCCATTGAGAATGTTCTCAGGTTGATCCTGGGTCCCATGGCAAACCCCTGTTCTTTTTGTTTTTGACTTTTTTGCTTTCTCCTATTTCAAGATGCTCCAGGGTCATTTTGTGTTTCATACATTTTTACATGTGTAGTTACATTTTATTTGTTTCTCCCAACATATCCCTTAGTCTTCAATTTCCTTTTCTGAGCCAGTTGTTAAGAATATTTTTAATTCCCATTCAGCTGTATTTATTATTTCTTTCTAAGTTTACTAAACTGTGCTCTATTCCTATGGAATATAGAATTGCTGCCTTTATTAAGTAAGAACAATTTTATTTTCATAAAGTCTTCAATGATTCATGTACACTTGTAAAGAAAGTGTAAATCCTTATCCTGCTCACAAAGTTCTTATCATTTGATGGACTAGTCTACATTATTTATTGTTTTATTCATGTCCATAGCTTTTTTTTTTGCAGTGTTGTGGTTAGAACCAAGGGCCTATGCATGCTAGGCAAGTACTCTATCACTGAGCTACACCTCCAGCCCTCCATATCTTTTTCTTGAGACTATGTTTTACTATGTTGCCTAGGATGGCCTTGAACTCCTGGACTCCTCTTATCTCAGCCACTCCAGTAGCTGTGATTACTGTATGTAGCAGATCTTTGATGTGTGATGAGTACATACTAATACATGCATCCTGAGACCCCGTGACCTCCATTCATAAAGTACAAGTTTCTCCTTTATACCCTTAGCTGGGTTAACCCTTGATAGAGCGTGACAAACCCCCTCTTAAGTATTTTTTGGCAGTTGAACTCAAGGCTTTGTACTTGTTAGGCAAGTGCACTACCACTTGAGCCATTTTGCATAGATTTTTGCCTTCTCAGTTGCTCAATTAGACTTTCATTAGATAGCATACTTGTGACCCATATGCCTTGACTTTATCTGTCTTGTTAGTGCTTTTCTTCTATGAAATCTTCTATGAAACTCCTTTCCTTCCTGGATATATATGCATATACATCGCTTCTGTTTCCAAGAAGCTAGTAGGAAAGACTTGCCTAGAAGAAAATAATTATGCTACAGTATAATATGGTGAGTCCCATAGTAGAGTCAACAAAAGGCTATGGAAGAATGAAGGAAGGATAATTCATTGCAGCTGCTAGTGGTATTTGATGTGAACTTAAAAGAAGAATAGGGGTTTTTTGGAGGCAGTACTGGGAATTGAACTCAGGGCCTTACACTTGCTAGGGGCTTGAGCCACTATAGCAGCCCAGGACTAAGCTTTACCATGTGCAGAGACAAGAAGATATGAACATATTCAGAAAATGCGATGTTGTTGTCCAGTGTACTATAGATCGTGCTAGGGAGTGATTGGGTTGCACTCCCTGACTCATAGCCTGCTTCCAAAATCCTACGACTAAATACAGCTCCCTGTGGTCATCACAAGTACTCTGCCTGCTTTCTGCCTCTACCATTATCTCAGTCACATCCTTGGCCATTTGGTCCTGGGAGTCACTTCATATGAAATATTCCTTCTCACTTTAAGTCCTACTAGTTAGTAGTTAGTTCCCTTGATGGTCATCACATAGGAAGACATTGCGACATCCAGAATATGGAGAAAATGCTTAAATACTATATAGTCAAAAACATTGAGAGAGGTAGGGAGAGGGTGAGGAGAGATTGTATTGTGAAACAAAGGGTAAGGATGAGAAAAACATGAGGAGAATGAATTTTTGAGGAGCAAGTGTCTGATGCTAATAAGAAAGCAAAGGCTTAAATAATCATCCATCTTTCTTTCACTCTTTCAACTAGCCATGACCATGAAACACAGACAACCTTGTTCCTATATGTACCCTTGGAACTTTTCTGGAAAATTCTACTTTCATTCTCCCTTCCTGGAAGAAGCAACCAATCCCCTTTTTATTCAGTACATCCTAATCACTCCCTACAAAACTTTGGTTTATTCTATGAATCTAACTTCTTCTACAAATGCATTTTCTAATCTGGAAGGATCCCAGACCAAAGCAGACTTGTTGGCCATGTTGAGGAGTTTGAACTTCATCCTATAGGCCAGCATTTCCAAGATTGTATCTAGAAAAACTCTAAATGTTCCATGAGATGTTAATAGGTGTTATTTGAAATGAGAGTTCCAATTTCAGATAAGTTTGGCAAATGCAAAATACTCCTTTTGGAAAATCTCAATGCCCATTAGTGTAGCAAAGATTCTGAAATTACTTCAATAAATACATCTGTCTAACTTTTTAAATCAGCATCTCCCACACTAATTTAACCATTTTTTCTGTACAATATTCAGTAATATCTTACTGACACCCAGAGCACAGGTTAGAATGTTCTTGCACAGGCATTGGAGGAGCAAAAAAAAAAAAAAAGAAGGATTTTAAGCAGAGAGTGACTAGTCATATTTAAGATTTAGCAAGATTTGCCCTGGAAGTAGTCTGATGGATGGGTTGATTAGGGGGGACTTTACTAGAAGGAATAGCAATAGTGTAGGAATTTTGGCAAGGACCTTGACTAGGTTGTGAAAGTAAAGGAGAGTGGGGACAGGTTGGATTAAAATTAAGGTGGTAATTGGGGGCATCTTGGGGCAAGATGGCAGGTTAGGAGGAGGGAGTTGATTTGCCTGGTACTGGGCATGTTGAGAGAAAGGTATTTATTGGAAATTGGTAAATTGGATATACTTGGCTATTCTTTATGAGGAAAATCTGGGTTAGAAACAGATATTTCAGACCTGAAACAATGTAAATTGAGAGAAGAGGGTGGGACCCCACTGTGGTCAACCAAAGGAAAAAAGGCTAGTAGTCTAAATGGCCTTTTAACTTTGTGTCATTTGTCATGTTGGTTACTTTAAGTCTTTTAAATTCTCCATACAGCTTTTAGAAGAACCTTTAGACAGAATTTAGTAAGGATAAAAGCATAGATGGTTAGGGAGTTATTAGGAGGACAAGGTGACCTATATGAAATGCCTATGGCAACTAAAAAGAGTAAATACCCTTAATCTATCCAAAAGGTGCGCTTGGCAGTGGTGTGGGCATAAAATAAGCCTTTGTACTTGAGGACAGCAGATTATTGCATAAAGACTTGTGCATGGGTGTTTATAGCAGAGCTAGTTATAATAGCTAAAAAGGGGAAATAACCCACATGTCCATCAACTGTGAGTGGATAAACAAAATGTGGTGTATCCATACAATGGAATATTATTCTGTCACAAAAGGATACCGACGCTATCATCACATGGATGGACCTTGACAACATGCTAAGAGAAAGAAGCCAATCATGAGAAACCACATGTTCTAGTCTTCCATCTATATGAAATGTTCAGAATTGGTAATCCATAGAGACAGAAGGTAGATTAGTGGTTGCCAGGGGCTGGGGGAGTGGGCAGTGACTGCTAATGTGTATTGGATTTTTTTGGGTGTGCTGAAAAATATTCCAAAACTAGATAGTGGTGATAGTTGAACACAGGTTGAAATTGATGGCATGCAAATGATATTGTAGTTTTGAAATTTTAAAGTAAGATTTTAAAAAATAGAGTAGGGGCTGCCCGGTCATCACTTGAATCCTTCAGAACCTGGTATGTCAGGCTCAGAGAGGGAACAGGGCAAGAGGGGCCTTGGGAATGGCAGAGTGAGTCTACTCAGGGGTAAGTCCTGGGGGCCAGGGTGGCGTTGTGACCAGAAAGGAGCTCCTCATGCAGTCCCCTGCCACACACAGCCTCCCTCAGCTTCCATCCTTCCCCAGGCCTCTCTTCGGTTCACAGCAAGCCAGTGTCCTCTCCAAGGCAGGCACTCCTATGCTGTTCAGCATATAGTCTCTTCATTCACAAGAAAACCAGCTTCTGCGTTTCTGAGCAGCCGTACTGGGTCTTATGCTGCTCAAACAGTTTGTGCAGGGCATCCATATAGAGGGCGTGGTATTTGTCCACTGTCTCCTGACTTGGCTTTTCAATCTGAGGCAGTGGTAGAGGCTCCCCAACTGCCAAGAGAGACAAGAAAAGAGATGGGTGAAAGTGCTGGAAGCTCCTCTTTCTCTAACCCCTTCTCTTTCCTAGGCCTGATCCTCTGACAGCCCAAGTCAGCTCCCAGATTCTCCTGTTCTGCTGGCCTCTTCTTTGGTGATGGTGGGGTGGGCAGGGCTGAGGTGCAGGGTGAGAAAGAGTTGAGTGGCCTTGGGGTTGAGAGCAACACTCACCTACAGTGACGATAGGCTTGTGGTATGGCAAGAGCCCGAAGGAGCCTTGGTGGAAGCCTTGTCCGTAGAAGACACAACAATAAAAACCAAAGATCCAGCGGAAGAAGCTCTGGAACTTGTACACGCTGCTGTCCTTGTGGAACACTACCTGGTCATACACCTCAGTTTCTCCAAAAGTGAAGGTGGGGACCAGGTGAGCCCTATAGGAAAACCTCAATTTATTTCCCAAACACAGGCTGGTGGAGAGCTACTCCGGAAGAATGTTTGTTCACGGCCAGTACTGATGCATTAAGACAAAATCCTAGAAGCCTAAGGCCTTTCTTCTTGCCCTAATTAGTGTATCTTGTTTTGAAATTGTTCAGACCCATGAGCATTATCTCTGGGCCAGGCTTACAGGACACAGAAAGAGTGGGGCAGAGATCCCAGAGCTCCACATTCTGAAAAACTTCCGGGAGGTGTCAAGGAAGGAACATCTGATTGTTTTTGTTAGAGAAAGTCCAACTGAGAATAAATTTGCAGAGATGCACATATCACATATCACATTTGCAGAGATGCCCCTCATTCAAGGGGACCGTGCATAAAATAGTCTGTCCTTGCATCATGGGATTAGAGCAGAGAAAAGTTATTTCCTTTCCAGAGACCATGAAAACCCGCCCTGGTCTGTGCTCTAGGAACAGAATCAGGCTCCCTAAGTTCCTTAGATGTTTCTAAGGAGAACACTGGGCTCTCTCATGGAAATCTTTGTGATGCTAACAAGCAACTCTCAGCACTTTGACATACATTACCTTATTTGTTCCTTATAACAAAGATAGTGAGGACATAGCAGGGGATCCAGAGCCAAGGTTTCAAAAGGAGGGAGGCCTCTCAGACAGTCAGGAGTGTCAGGACCTAGACTAGAACCCAGGACTTCTTGGGCCCAACTCAGAGCTCTCCAGACTGATGGTCAAGACCCTCAGGCCAGATCATAGAAAACAGACTCCCCTCTTCTCTGAGTGTGCCATAGGACAATTGTCCCTTTGTCCAGTGAACAGGACTGCTGAACTGGTGTGGTACCTGTAGCTCCTCCAGTCTCGGGCTACTTCTCTTTACCCCTAAGTCAGAGTGGCTAACATTGATCAATTGCTTAGTGCACACCAGGTGTTTTATGTGGATTAATTCATTCAGAGCCACAGTCACTCTGTGGACTAGTCAGATTATGAAGATGAAAACGCCAAGACAGACACAGAATGGTTAAGTAATCTGTCCCACAGTGTATGGTACATGGAGCCAAAATTTTATTTATTTGATTTATTATTACCATGTTTTTTGTGGTGCTGGGAATGAAAAACAGCCTAGTGCATGCTAAGCAAGTGCTCTACCGCTCAGGTATACTCCAGTCCCTGGAGCCAGGATTTAATAACAGGCTTTTGACACACAAACTCATTATTTTGGAGTGCCTCTTGCACTTACCATCAACAGACACATTTCAGTTTTCTGTATCAGTCATGATAATGTGGGAATCATCAACATGCTAGGCCCAATGGCTCCTGATGTTGAACCTGGGTTTATGGTTTGGCTTCCTGGGGATTGGCATGGCTAATTCAGAAGGAGCAAATGACCTAAACCTATTTGAAATTCTATGCCCATCTCCCCTTCTCAGTCACAAGTCCCTTGAGGACAAGACTCACGTGAGATTCACCCTGGCACTGCCCACGGAGTCATACTGCTCAGAGAGGGCCACCCACTCTTCCTTGGAGGGACACCTACCCATGCTGCAGGGCAGTGCGCACAAACCCCTTGCGCTTCTGGAGAATGAGGTTGGTGGTGTTGGGTACACTTTGTAGGGCCTCTCCCACTCCTCCCACGACAATGCCAACGAGGTTGCCAGTGCCGTGGCTCAGCAGGTAGTCAATGGCTGGTTGGTTCACAGAGCACACACCTGGGGAGAGTTAAGGCACAGACATGAGAGCAAACTGATCAGGAGAAGAGTAGATGGCAGAGAGGAAAAAGTCATCTGTCCTCATGGGTCCTCATGGGTCCTAGTAGGAAAGGCTCAAGGAGCTGGGACTGAAGAGTGTGGAGAAGAGAAGGCAGGGGACAAACAGGGCATGTTTCACTTTGAAGCAACACATCCACTTCACTGGAAGCCCTGGATGGAAACTACAACAGAAAGACTTTCTGAAACCCAACTAGAATTCTACCCTTTTCTTTTCTATTAATAGCAGCAGGTATTGTTTATTGAAGACACACTCTGTGCCAGGCGTTATATTAAACACTGTACTAACATTTTCTCATTTAATCCCAGTCCACGTCTGAGGTGGGGCTATTACCAACAGCACCACTTTACAAATGAGAAAACTGAGGCCAAAAGAGATTAGCTAGTTTGCCCAATATCACAAAGCAAGCAACAGAGCCAAGATTTCAGCTTGGGCATTTGAGCTCCAGACTACTCTGATGTAGTGATGGGGGCAGGGAACGGACTAGTGGAGGAGAGGAGGCTTAAAAAAGTGTGCATTTTATAAGAGAAGTGCAGAGAAATGGACCAGAAGCCCCAGTGAGTGTGGTCAGAAGTACCTTTGGCCATGAGGTAGTCCCTAACAAGGGGAATCTTGAAGAACCAGGAGAGTGTGGCCAAGTGAGGAGTGATGCCTGGGAAGGTCTTTGAGAAGCCTGTGGCCTCAGTGCAGAAGTTGCAGAAGGCGCCGAAGGTCAGGAGGCCGTGGGGGTGAACCCCCATGAGATAGTTGTGCTCAGGTGATAGGTCCTTTGTCTTCAGGATCTTCAGCCATGGAAAGAAATGACAGAGGTGGCCCAAGTGAGCTCACCCGGGGAAGCAAGGCCCAGACGTGAGGGGTATGTGGTTGTTGTCTAAAACACACAGAGCATGCGTGGCTGAGAGAGGTTGTGCTCCTTAAGCCCTGGAATGAAGGTAAGATCTGGGGCAGCTAGAGCAAGCAGTGTCGGCCATCTGTGTCAGTGTGCTTATGCATGTTATCCCTGTCTTTGAGTGGTGTGATGTGACAAAGGCCAAGAAGCTCTGCTCTAAAAATCAGAGCAGTGTTTCCCAGCTACTCCAAAGAGAGCCCAGAGGTTCAATGGAGTTGTACATTTCTGGAACCTCTTCCTGATATTTTCCCCTCCCCCACTCCCTTCCAATGCCTGCCAAGATAACTTTTATTGAACCTTGAAACCTCTACTTAGGTGCCATCATGTCTGGAAAGCTTTTCCTTTCCATGCTCATCTAAACCCCTTCTTGGCCTCATGCACTCGTCTGTCCTTCCCATGGGCATGAGCTCCTCGGTGGCATGCTGTTCACTTCTTTGTACCCCAAACATGTGGTCAGAGAAGACCTTTGGCCTATGCTTTTTAAATGAATTGCATTTGTGTCTGCCTGTGTCAGCCGGTGGTCATGCAGAGAGTGTCCGAAGTGTTCCACAAAGCAGAGAGGATCCTAAAGTCATTTAGTTGGATTGAGACTTCACTGGGAGCTCTCCTTCCTTAGGGACAACTCTAGTTATTTGGTATAAATGCCTAGTGTTTGGGAATCTGCAAGGGACACTGGGAAGAGATGCTTACCGTAATGGGAAAATAGTCCCTGATGTGGTTCCAGACATACCAGTTCCTTACCCAGGCTGAATGCCTGCCACCTGAGACAAAAATGCCAGTAGAGGATGTTAGTGCACGTCACCCCACACCTCTCACTCGCCCAGGGCTTTCCTAGAAACTTGGAGGGACCGTGGCTCTGCTAGAGAGGTGGGAAAGGAAAAGCCCCCAGGATGTTCCTGACTGTCAACTCCTGTGTCTCTGAGAACATGGAGGAGAGGTCTGTGGCATGGTGTGTGGGACTCACCACTCAAAGTTGCATTCTTCTTTCTCAGTCTGCAAGTCTTACCTTGCTCTGGAGTCTTCCAGTCCAGGAACAACCAGGCAAAGTAAAGCACTGGGAGTGGCCACAAGGATGTAAACAGCAGGTAAATGAGCAATGGCTGCAAGATCAAAACTGATGAAGGATCAGGTCAGACCAACTTTGTACTGCTGGCAGAACTTGACTGTGTCCAATCTCATTACCAGTTCTCCATATTACCCATGCCTCTGGGCTTGGCCCTCAGCATAGTCTAGGTCCTGTCCATTCAGCATCCATGGCCACTTGTCCCTCAAAAATTTCTTACATTATCTGTCATACGTGAATCCTTGCTTCTCCTCCTACCTGTCTGTCATCCCTGTTCCTCTGCCTTCCTACCCAGCCACCATCTCTATACTTAGTTTTTGGGGGTGGTGCTGGGTTTGAACTCAGGACTTCACATTTGCTAGGCATGTGCTCTACAGCATGAGCCACGCCCCCAGCCCTTTTTGTTCTGGTTATTTTTGAGATAGGGCCTTGCTTTTTGCCCAGGCTGGGCTGAAACATGACTTTCCTATTTTAGGCTTCCCTCCATTGCTGGGATGACAGGCATATACCACTGTGCCCAGTTATTGGTTGAGATGTGGTCTTGCAAACTTTTGGCCCAGGCTTGCTTTGGACTGTGATCCTCCTGATCACAGCTTCCCAACCATCCCTGTCTTATACCAGCTTCTTTTCTTCTTCCCCATTAAGCTGCCATCGTTTCTCCTTTTGTCTCCTGTCTCCCTCTCTGTTATCTCAGAACCCTTGCTAAGCAACTAGCACATCCTCATTTACACCTATACTACCTGCATCTCTCTATACCTTGCCCGCCCAACATCTGCATTCCTTTGCTATTTCCTCTCTGCCATTCTTGTCCTCTTGCCATTCACCATTCCTTCCATTGCCTGTCTCCTACCCTGTGCTATACCCCTCAGCCAGAGTGAAAATGCTATGGTTCAAACACAGGCTATAGAGCTGGGGGTTATACACCTTGGTGTGGTGGCATATGCCTGTAATCCCACCACTCAGGAGGCAAAAGCAGAAGGATCACAAATTTGAAGTCAGCCTGGGCTACATTGCAAGATCCTGTCTCAAAAAAAAAAAAAAAAAAGAGAGAGAGAAAGAAAAAAAAACGCAACAAAACCCCTAAAACAAACAGCAAACAAACAAAAAGCAACCTCTCCCCCCAAAAAAGCCCCCTACAAGTATGTTTCTGTAAGCCTATAATGCTAAGGGTTGGTCCATCCCCCTCTCCATGATCAAAGAGAACCCTCTCGGGGCCTCACTCCTCACTTTCCCTCTCTGGATAGTGCAGGTTAGGAAGCAGATGAAATGAGCCAGATCTACTCATATCCATCAAGACTCTGTTCCACTCTGTAACTGTTCTTATTGTGCACTGGGGCTCTATCTCTTCCTTTTTGGATGGCACTCATTCAGCTGGAGACTCCTTGACTTGACTCTGTAGAACCATCTCAGATGATCAAAAGGCCAGAGATGAGGCTTCCTGTGGCCATGAAAATCTCCCCTCCACCCAGATCTGGCCTTGGCTTCTGACTTCTTGCTGTACACTTTGGGGTGGGTACTCACAGATGGCAAGGTAGCTCAAGGGCCACTGAAGAAGGCTCAAAGCCTGTAAGTAATCAGGCTTCTTAGGACAAGACATCATGCCCAGGCGCCTCGAGGGAGGCAAAGATCCCAGAGCAGCGTTCCAACGAAAGGTGCAGCCAGCGTCTGGAAGCTCACTCAATAGTGAATGCAGGTGATTATGAGGAGTTGGCACCTGCCCTCTCCCCTCCTTGTCCTACTCCCACCCCCCACCCACTGCAGGGCAGGTGCTGGAGAGCTGAGGACTGCCTCATGAGGTCTGGCCCAGCCACCTGCCCTTTCACTATTTCCTGGGGTTATTAGGACATCAGGATAGAGAAAGGTGAGAATGGCTGTCATCCAATCTGAGTGACACAGAGAGCAGGTTACTCAGAGCACAGGGGCTGTGAGCTTAAAGAGATAACTGGTGGAAAGGGAGTTCTTGGGGTTGTGTGGGATTAGGTCTCTCTTGCCCTGAAGCATCCTGATTTGGGGTTGCCCCACCCTTGCAACTTCTGTTATAAGTATTTCCACTCATACAAAACTTAGGGAATGCAACAAGTTTTTGCTTTCATGTTTATCTTCAACAACTATTGTTTGATTCCCAGCACTGAAAAGACAACACAAACCAAAAAAAAGCAATCCTCCCAATTAACATTTTGCCATACTTGTTTCATTCATCTCCCCACTTTTTTGAGTATTTTATAGCAGTTTTAAGAGATCTTGCCATTTCACCACTAAATACTTCACTATGCATCTACAAAAAGTACAGATATTTTCTTCTGTGGTGACACCACCACTAGTATCACTCTTAACAAACCTAACTCTTAACTCTCTAATACCCAGTCCACATTCAAATGTCTTTTTATAGTTTGTCTTAAAAAAGGCCAGCTAGCACTATTCACAATAGCCAAGTTATGGAAACAGCCAAGATGCCCCACCACTGACGAATGGATTAAGAAAATGTGGTATCTATACACAATGGAATTCTATGCAGCCATGAAGAAGAACGAAATGTTATCATTCGCTGGTAAATGGATGGAATTGGAGAACATCATTCTGAGTGAGGTTAGCCTGGCCCAAAAGACCAAAAATCATATGTTCTCCCTCATATGTGGACATTAGATCAAGGGCAAACACAACAAGGGGATTGGACTTTGATCACATGATAAAAGCGAAAGCACACAAGGGAGGGGTGAGGATAGGTAAGACATCTAAAAAACTAGTTAGCATTTGTTGCCCTTAACGCAGAGAAACTAAAGCAGATACCTTAAAAGCAACTGAGGCCAATAGGAAAAGGGGACCAGGAACTAGAGAAAAGGTGAGATCAAAAAGAACTAACGTAGAAGGTAACACACACGCACAGGAAATTAATGTGAGTCAACTCCCTGTATAGCTATCCTTATCTCAACCAGCAAAAACCCTTGTTCCTTCCTATTATGGCTTATACTCTCTCTACAACAAAATTAGAAATAAGGGCAAAATAGTTTCTGCTGGGTATTGAGGGGGTAGGGGGAAGAGGGAGGGGGCGGAGTGGGTGGTAAGGAAGGGGTTGGGGGCAGGGGGAAGAAATGAACCAAGCCTTGTATGCACATATGAATAAAGAAAAAAAGTCTCTCTCTCTCCCTCTCTCTCTTTCTCTTTCTCTAAAATAGAACTCAGAGACAAAAATCAGTCAAAACAAATATATGACTTAATGAATGATTACCAAACACCTTGTAACCACCACTAGGTGAAGAAGCAGAACTTTTCTACCCATTTCAGAATCCTCTCCACATGCCCTGTTCCAATCACACCCCTTTTCCTCCTCAAAGTAACCATTATCCTAACATTTAGAGTTACTGTTTTTTGCTTTTCTGTGGTTTTCTTACTCAAATGGACTTCCCTAATGAGTATGATTTAGTCTTGCCCATTTGGAAAGTCATTATGTTCTTTAAGTTTTCTCTATTTTAAAAACTTTTTATTTTGGAATGATATTAGACTTATGAAGGAGTTACAAAGATAGTTCACTATACCTTTCTCCCACCTTCTCCTTTATGTTAGCTTCTTATGTCACCATGGTATATTCATTACAAGTAAGAAACCAATATTGGTGCATTTCTGTTGATTGAACTCCATGGTTTGTTTGAATTACACCACTCTTTCCACTCATGTCCCTTTTCTGTTCCAGGATCCCACTGGGATTCCACATTGCATCTAATCATCTCGTCTCCTTAGTCTCCTCCAATCTGTGACACTTGCGCCTTCCTTGTCTTTCTCGACCTTGGCACTTTTAAAGAATTTAAGTCTGTTTTAATACACAACTCTTTCCTTTCCTTAAGATTTAGCTGTTGAAGAACCCATGGCATTTTACCTGAAGAATTTTCCAAAGTTGGAATTATGCTTATTGCACACACATAGTGCACTTCAGCACGTTCTTCTGTATTTCCTGTACATTGGCAACTGAATTCAAAGGCTGAAAAGGATTCAGATTTGAGCCTTTGGCAAGATATTAATTTGTTTTTAATGTAGAACAATCCCCCTTTCCTTTCCTCCTCTTTCTACTATGCCCTTGATTTATTGAGGAGTTTTTCCTGGCAGTAAGCTGGTCTTCCAGACCTCAGCACCAGCTTCCATGAGCAGAGATGGGGTGTGTAGCTTGGATCTTGGGTATGTCCCCCATACCTGCCAAAGTGAGAGGGTGGGCAAAGCCCTCTATTCATCTCTGTGACTCTCCTCTCTTACCTCATTAGAACTTCATGCCCATTACAGCAGATTGGGCTGATTTGTTTTTTTGTCTTTTCCTACCTGAAGATTGTATGCATCTAAAAGAATAGGGACTGCATCTTAGTTTTCAATGTAACTGTTCTTAATGCTTGGAAAGTTCCAGACTTTTGGTGTTGAGTGAACAATCATTGGGTTTGAGGTATTAGGTTTGAGGTCTGTGCTCAGATGGTTTCTTACTTGTAATGAAATTACTAGAATCCTATGGAGGAGTGTGGCCTGGGGACTTTATCAGGGCACAAGAAACTGTATAGTAACAGAGGACAAAGGGTACATTATAAAAGGGAGAAGAAAGAAAAGGGAAAGGAAAGCAGGTGCTGACCTTTGAGGCAACTTGGCAAAAAAGAAAGTTCTATAAACTTTGCCTCCCCTACCCCAGGGTGACCTCCTACTACAGGTCTTCCTGCTGATCAGAAACCAGCCTGGCCCTGGAGCAAATGTTAGTTAGCATTCAGGATTGCAGCATCGATGCCCTGTTGATGTGTGGACATCCCTGTGGTTGAGGGTGGGGCCTCATCCCTGGCATTACAGGGGAGATTAGCACTCTGTTTTTGCAGAACAGATTATCCTAGGCCTACATTAGCTCCTTCTCCACACGCTCTCATCCTTGTAAATTGTCTTCCACAGGAAGCCAGCCTCTTGGGTTAAATTTTAATAATGTGAATTTTGTTTTCCCCTCTATTTCTTCCTGCCCCCTGAAAAAAGGAGGTAAATTGTGAGAAGACATATGGTACAAAAAGTTGTTCTGTACATATTATATTTCTGCTTAGCACCAAATCCCAAATCTTTGCTTTAGTATTTTTTGTGTCTAAAATGCCAAGTGATAACAGTTGGGTTTTTAATCTCAATTGAGAAGTATATGACAAATTAAAGCCATTATGTGTATGCATCATGATGGCATTTGCATACATTTGAAAAACACACATGTGCAAGCAGATTATGTATTTATTCTAGACAATGCTTAAACTAGGTAGGGCTTTCCAGAGCCCTTGTAATAATTAAGTTACTCCCCTGGGAATAATGGCTTGTTGCCTTTTTTAAAATGGAAGTTGATGTCTTGTTTTTCCTAATTATGAAAATAATCCATGCAAATCACACAATTTTCAGAGTACTCATGAAAGTATAAAGGGAGGAAAATCACTCATGATCTCATCACACACAAATCATTAACTGTTAACTGTTAGCATCCTGGTCTCCACATTCCTTTACTTTTTTTCTATTCAATACAGGCATAGATAAGGTGTCACTGTAAAGAGTTTGGACCCTTGAGTCCAACATATATAGGTCTGTATCTCAGTTGTCTCACTTAAGTGAGACACTTTCATTTGTCTCAGTTTCCTCCTCTGTAAAAAAGATTGGATACCCACCCACATCATAGGATTGTCCTTTATATAAAATGATTCTTGTATATCCCTTGGCTCAGTGCCTTCCTCATGTAATCTGCTCATACAAAAAGTTCAATAAATGTCAGTTTTTATATGTACTTAATACTAAGATGGGATCATGTTCTATATCCCATTTTGAGGACTGATTTTTTACCATACAGTATAGCGTGGACATTTTTTCATGTCGATTTTCTTCTACAGTGTTGTACCTAGCATTTCATTGTATGGATATGCTACAATTCATTTAACCAATCTCCTGTAATGGAGGAAGCACTAATTTTATGACAAGTACCTTCCAAATTCTGGCATCTTCCAAATTCCTAGGTCTTTCAATGGTAGGTGAAAAGGTCACTAATAAGTAAAACTCGTAGGGCTGGTGGAGTGGCTCAAGTGGTAATGCACCTGCCAGCAAGCGTGAAGCCCTGAGTTCAAACCCCCACAAAAAAGAAAAAAGAAAACCTCCTTTATCTACAGCCCTTTTTCAGCAGTACCACTCAGTGTCCTCTCCCCCAGCAATTTTTAGGAGCTAGTGGTATAGAAAGTGAGATATATTCTCAAGCCTCCAAGAACCTGGGTAGATCCAGGGACCAAGAAGCTGGGTCGGCAGAATCAGCCTCTCCCTCCAAGGAAATGACTGGGTCTCAGGAGCGGTCTTGACCCTCTTCTTCACACAGCTGGGAATGCAGGTTTTGTGACACCCTTACCAATCCCACTAGACCCAGCAATGCTGCTAGTTAGATTCACCCCAGCTTTAACTGGGGGAATATTCAAATGCAAGCCAAGTCCACTGGGGGAGGTGAAGCCTGGGAAAATGAAACTTGGAAGCCATGGATCGCTGAGGTCTGTGCTCTATCAGCATATCACTTTCTATGCTTTCATATTCTTTTCTTTTTCTTTTGAGAAAAAAGAAAGTGAATTTTAGGCTCACCTGAACTAATGGTGGGAGTGTTTTGCAATTTCTGAGGCCAGAATATATGGGGCATC